TTGTAAGAGGCGTCTAAAATGCCAGGAGCAAAGGGCTAGTAACCCTCTCCTTATATATTACTAAATGTGAACGGAGAAACGTTTGTTTTCCTTTTGGGCCACACCGCCTCGTGATAACGGGCTGGTGTGTGGAAAGAAGATAAATATATATAATATATATATAAATAATATATTATATATATATATATATAATATATATAGATATATTTATATATATATATATATATATATAAAATAATATATATATATATTTATATTATATAATATATATAGATATATATAGATATATATAATATAATAATATATGGATAATATATATAATATAATATATATCATAGATATATATAAATGATATATATATATATAAATATATATATAAATATAAATATATAGAGGTATGTATGAATATATGTAGTATAAATTTCAGCCGCTCCCCACGAGGCAGGTGACCCCAAACAAAGAAAATCCTCAAAAAGACAATACTTCATTCATCATTCAACACGATTCACCTCACACAACAATCACTGTTTTTGCCAGAGGTGCTCAGACCGCAACATTTTAGAAGCATATACGGATGAAGATATAAACATAATCCCTCCAAACGGCCGGATATCCCAACCCTCCTGTAGAGTGCAGGGTTTGGATGATATATATATATTATATATATATATATATATATATATATATATATATATATATTATATATATAAATTATATATATTATATATATATATAATAGATCTATATTTAAATATATATATATATATATACATATATATATATATAGATATAGATATATATAATATATATATTATATAAATGTTGTGTCGAAGAGTAAAACTGGTCAATTTAGCAAAGCTCGTTTAAAATGAAGTCCTTTCTAAAATTTTCTCTATACTTTAAAGATATATATTTTTTCGTTATGTTTATTAAAAATTAATAATATAGTACAAAAAGAACGTTAGAAAACTTAAACTAACCTTATTATAACCAACGCATTTTAATGTAGTCTAACCCAACTAATTATATTTTAGGTAATTTACAGAGTAATTTAGTAAGAAACGGACAAGGAAAGACATGTTTTTTCGTATGTTAGAAGTGACTTTTTGGGCTAAATTATTGCTACACAGATTTGTCGCTGCCCTTATTTCGGCAAGAGACACGAACATCACGCACGCTCAAAATTCTTATAACAGAACAAGATTCAATCGCGCACTCTGCAATCTAGTATACAGTGCTACCACAAACAACCGTAAGAAAAAAATATAATATTCAGAAAACAGGTTTAAAACCACTTGAAGGTCATTCAAAAACGCTTAGCAGAATTAACCTATATGATAAATGTAGGAAAAAGTCAGGAAAAATATCGGTGCCTACCCTTGCCTAATTCTAGCCAAAATTATGACTTTATATAAATTTTATTACTTTTTGATGCTTCACCAGTAGATAACAGTATGGTTAACAAAGTCAAAATATATTTCTTGGCGTCGATACGCAAAGTTTATTTACCTTATCGACAGATTTGTGAGGGTGCATCAAACATTTCAGAGATTTATAAGGGCGTAATGTCATTATTATTAAGATAAATATGTTGGCTTTTTTTAAGTAAATAGTTTAGTAACTAGAAATATCACCCAGGCAATGTAGTAAGTGATAACACACGTTGTAGTATTCCACAGCGAATAATGAAGGGATATATACTACAGATCTCTAGCAAGATATTCAACTCCATGGCTGAATTAATCAGCAATTTGCTGTCTGGATCTACAAGAGTATATGCTCCCTGGTTTCCCAGCTTCAGTTGGTTAGTCTGTCATATATTTAGGTATCTCCCAAAGGTTCGTAATGGTTTGCCTATTTTTGTCCGTTTTGTTTTTCCGGTTTATATTTTAAGAACGGTTTATCGATCTGCTTCCATAAATTTTAATCGTGTTATAACTCTAGAGAAAGTTCACGGCACTGTCATGGATGTTATACATCTTCCCGATTGGGGCTTATTAGGAACATGGGATATCTTTCTAGATCGCGCACCAACTTATATCTTCACTTGTAACCCGTTGCATTGTTTCTACCCATTTCTTGAATAGTTTCTGGGAATTAGATTGCAAGCTTCACACCACCGGCGCGTGAGCACAAAGGGTATTTTGTTAGTATTTAAAGCTTATGAACAGCACGGTGGATCAGTGACGTTGCAGTTATGTACACTAACAATTAAGACTATTTTAATCCTTAAAATAGGAGTTTAAGTAAACATTGTTTACACAATGATCATCGTATAAACCACGTGAGGAGCTAAACCTCCCCCTCCCTCTTGTCATATAAGCCACCGTGTGTCTGGATGTACTGGGGTGGTATTGGTGGTTGCGTGTGCTGGCCGCGCGCGTGCGCCCTCTCTTGTGTGCTTGAGAACGCGCGCGCGTGCTGCGTTGTTTGGCTTAGTTGTGTGGCCACAAGAATGGCTCCGGGTGCGCCGGAGCTGACCTAGCCGTGGTGAGTACGAGGCGTGGGGCTAGTGTGGCGGTTGTGTTGTGCAAGTGTCAGAAGATGAAGGTTAAGGTGTAAGGAAGAGAGGGAGAGAGAGAGAGAGAGGGGGAGGCCGCCACCTGCTTATTGATCGTGGCGGCGGGCAGGCAGCGGGGCTCAGCTGGACCCTGGTGGTTACCCCTCCCTCTTCAGCTGATGGAGTTCCCGGCTGATCCAGCAGTCACAGTGACTGAGACACGCAGTGCCACTCTGTCCTGTGCCGTACACTGTTAAATGCCCCCAGTGTAGGTAGTGGTGGTGACCCGCCTGCCGCTCACGCCGTGTAAGGTACCACCTCTTGTTGTGGTGGCTGCCGTCGCTATCAGCTGATTGTCGTACTGGGGACACTAGTCTGGCGGGTGATGTAGCAGGTAGCTTTAGCAGCTACCAGTGGTGTGACTTGATTGATAGTGATGTGACACCACCACCACCAGTGTTGTAACCTGCTCACCACTACCTTTGTAATCGCACCACCAGTGTTGTAACCTGCCCACCACCAGTGTTGTAACCAGCTCACCACGAGTGTAGTAACCTGCTCACCACTAGCGTTGTAACCGCACCACCAGTGTTGTAACTTGCTCACCACATGTAACCTACTCATCACTAGTATTGAATACACCACCAATGTTATAACTTGTTCACCACGAAGTATTGCAGTCTCTTCACCAGTGTTGTAACCTACCACCAATGTTGTAACCGACGTAACACCATTGTATGAACCGCATCACCAGGTTTCACCCTCACTACCATGTTTACCAACGCACCATTGTAAACCTCACCACCATGTTGTGACCTCATTACAAATGTAATGAACTCTCACCGCCAGTGATTGACCTCAGCACCAGGTGTTTGGTCGACTCACCAATATTGTTGCTTCACCAGCGTTGTGGCCTAACCACCATTATGGTGACTTCATTAGTGTTGTGACCTAATCTTCAGCAAAGTGTCTTTACCATCAGTCTTGACCTCGTCACCAGTGTTGTGACCTCGCCAGTGTTGTAACCACAAGTGGTGTAGTTGCAGTGTTGCGGAGTGACCACTTTCTTCCTACCGACTCGTGCATTTATGTTCCTTTTTATACCAGAAAAATGAATTCGACATAATTTTAAGAACGTGTTGTCATTTATGACACTGCTAACAAGTACAGTATGATTAAGCTTCTGTGGTCGGATCAGGTGAGCATTGTACTAACGTGCGTGTGGCCCTAGGACATGGCGAGTGTGACCCAGGCTTCTTTCTTGGCATTCCAACCGCTACGAGAAGTACCCCAGTGTGACCCCAGGCTACTGCACTCACCACTTCGAGAGGTACGAATGTGACCCAGGCTTCTGCCTTCACCGCTACGAGAGGTACCCCAGTGTGACCCCAGGCTACTGCACTCACCACTACGAGAGGTACCCCAAGCTACCGCACTCACCACTACGAGAGGCATCCCAGTGTGACCCCAGGCTGCTGCACTCACCACTACGAGAGGTACGAGTGTGACCCCAGGCTACTGCACTCACCACTACGAGAGGTGTGTGTGACCCCAAGCTACTGCACTCACCTCTGCGAGAGGTGTGAGTGTGACCCCAGGCTACTGCACTCACCACTACAAGAGTTATCGACCCCAAGGTGACTCAACTACTGCACTCACCACTACAGAGGTTGTGACCCCAGGCTACTCGCACTCCTCACCACTACAAAGGTGTGAGTGGGACCCCCAGGCTACTGCACTCACCACGACGGAGCGGTGTTGTGACCCCAGGCTACTGCACTCACCCACTATGAAAGTGTGTGTACCCCAGGCTACTGCACTCACCACTACGAGAGGGGTGGTGGGAGACCCCTGGCTACTACACTCACCACTACGAGAAGGTGTGAGTGTGACCAGCGACTGCACTCCAACCACTACGAGAGGTGTGAGTATGACCCCAGGCTACTGCAGATCACCACTACGAGAGGTACACACGTGTGATCTCCAGGCTACTGCACTCAACCACTACAGAGGGTACACAATGTACTCCAGCTACTGCACTCACCACTACGAGAGGTACCCAAGTGTGACCCCAGGCTACTGCACTCACCACTACGAGAGGTACCCAACTGTGACTCCAGGCTACGGCACCACCACTACAAGGTACCCAAGGTGTGACTCCAGCTGCTGCACTCACCACTACGAGAGGTACAAGTGTTACCCCAGGCTGCTGCACTCACCACTACGAGAGGTGTGAGTGTAACCCCAGGCTACTGCACTCACCACTACGAAAGGCACCCCAGTGTGACCCAGGCTACTGCACTCACCACTACGAGAGGTATCAGTGGACCCAGGCTACTGCACTCACCACTACGATAGGCAACCCCAGTGGTGACCCCAGCACTGCACTCACCACTACGAAGTCGAGTGTGACCCCCACTACGCACCGCACACTACAGAGGTGATGAGTGTGAACCCCACTACTGCAACTTTACCACTACGAGAGGTGTAGTGACCCCAGCTACTGCACTCACCACTACGAGAGGTGTAAGTGACCCCAGGCTACTGCACTCGCCACTACGAGAGGTGTAAGTGACCCCAGGCTACTGCACTCACCACTACGAGAGGTGTGAGTGACCCCAGGCTGCTGCACTCACCACTACGAGAGGTGTGAGTGACCCTAGGCTACTGCACTCACCACTACAAGAGGTGTGAGTGACCACAGGCTACTGTACTCACAACTGCGAGAGGTGTGAGTGTGACCCCAGGCTACTGCACTTACCACTAGGGGGGGGGTGGGGGGGGGGGGGGGGGGGGGGGGGGGGGGGGGGGGGGGGGGGGGGGGGGGGGGGGGTGGGGGGGGGGGGGGGGGGGGGGGGGGGGGGGAGGGGGGGGGGGGGGGGGGGCGAAGGTGGAGTGACCCCAGGCTACTGTACTCACAACTGCGAGAGGTGTGAGTGTGACCCCAGGCTACTGCACTTACCACTACGAGAGGTGTGAGTGACCCCAGGCTGCTACACTCACCACTACGAGAGGTGTGAGGGACCCCAGGCCACTGCACTCACCACTACGAGAGGTGTGAGGGACCCCAGGCTGCTACACTCACCACTACGAGAGGTGTGAGGGAACCCCAGGCCACTGCCCTCACCACTACAGAGGTGTAGTGACCCCAGGCTGCTACACTCACCACTATGGGCGAAGGTGTGAGGGACCCCCAGGCCACTTGGGCACCCACCACTACGAAGGTGTGAGAGGACCCCAGGCCACTGCACTCACCACTACGAGAGGTGTGAGTGACCCCAGACTACTGCACTCCGTTACAATCACAGTATTGGAGAGTGTTGCTGATTGACCTACCCACTCTTGTGAGTTGTCATTAGTTTAGAAGTGTGGATGGGGGGGGGGAGATTATTGCAGGTGTTTAAGGCTAGATAAATCGCATTCAAAATTAACAGCGCTCCTGCTACGTAAACACTCATTAGCCATTTTCTGTAAGACATTCCCCCTTTGTCGCTTCAACGGGAGAAAGAAAGGCTATGGTAATGCCTGAGGAACCTTGATAATCGAACTTGAGAAATTTGCCTGACGTCCTACGCTTTTCTTCAACATTGCAACGCCTATGTGTTGAATGCAAACACGAAAGGCATAGAGCTATGTTTCATCTCCCCCCTGTTGTTTTGCTTCTTTGTGGTCGCTTGTTTGCGGAGTTTGCATATAGAGATATATATATATATATATATAGAATATAGATACATATATATAAATATGAAATATATATATATAGGAAGTTCATATATATATATAGAGATAAATATATTTATATTATATATATATATATATATATATATAATATATAATATATATATATATAAATATAGATATAAATGCAAAACAATCCACTCTGAAAGAATATGAAAGCGCTTGGAATTTTCTCTATTCTTTCAGAGAGGTTGTTTTGCATATTCTGAATCACCCTGTTTTACTGTGAGCTTATGCATCTATAATATGTATATATATATATATATATTATAGTTATATATATATATATATATTTAGTTATATGTCCGTGCCGAATAGGTAAAACTGGTCAATTAGCAAGACTCTTTAAAATTAAGTCCAATCTAAAATTTTCTCTATACGTTTAAAGATATATATTTTTTAATAATGTTAATGTAAAAATAGTTTAATTTTGGCAACAAAAGATCTAGAAACTTACCTACCTATATAACAAGAAGCAATTTATTTTACCTAACCCATCAAAATATATGTAGATTTGTTTACAATCAATTTAATACTAAACTAACACAGTGAAATGTAATTTTTTTCGTAAGGGTTCAGAATGTTTTTTGGCCAAATATGCATTCACAAATTTTCACGGTCCTAGGGGTGTCACTACACGTTAAGAGTTAGCCATACAAATAAGTGTCAGGCCCGAGACTGTTAAACTGCCTCCCAGCACACACATAAGGGGGATTACAACAACCCCTGGCAGAGTCTTCAAGCGGCACTGGACAAGCACCTAAAGTCAGTGTTCCGGACAGCCGGCTGTGGGCCGTACGTTGGTTTAGCGTGCAGCCAGCAGCAACTGCCTGGTGATCAGGGCGCGGATCCACCAGAGGGCCTGGTCACAGACCGGGCCGCGGGCGTTGACCCCCGGAACCTCTCCAGTAAACTCCAGGGATACCCCGCGATAAACGTGTACATCTGGAGCCTACCCAGCAACCTTTTCTACACAATACATAATCTAACTGCTTTTCATACGGTGCTACAATCATAATTTGTAGATTTATTTACCTCTTTTTCATAAAATATGGATTACTTATTACCAACCTCTTTCTACACATAGGCTCAATTAAAGGCCTTCCCCATTTTCATTTATTTTACCCCGCTCAATGTAAAGTCTTCCCCATTTGCATTTACCCCGGCATCCCATATTTACGTACTACGACTCGCCTCCACAACTGGTTTACCCACTTTAGCATAAAATTCCCAACTACTAGTACTCCTCCAACACTTGGTGAAAACTCCCCACGCATTCACTTCACATTTCCCAAAATCTCTCTCTCGCTCACTTCTAACCACTTCTCTCTCTCACGTGCATATACGCATACTATAACTCTCTTTTTTACATCCCACCTTTATTTTACTCCACAGAATCCTTGAATTAATTCATTTATTAGTCTCTCTTTCCTGCCATAACAGCTTATCCTTCAACATTATTGCTCCTCTTTCTTTAGCTCTAACCTATTTGAAACCCCTGACCTAATCCGCATTTATTCCTCTCTACTGAAGCTCTCCCCACCCCCTTTCCGCTTTGTTTCACTTAAAGCACAGGACATCCACTTCTTCTCATTCATAACATCCACAATCATCTCTTTCTTATCATTTGCACAACATCCCACAGATTTCAGACTACTTCCACTTTTGAAGTTTTCGTCGTCTTATTCGTTGTTAGCAATTATTACAGGAAAAAGGGGGTTACTAGCCCATGTTCCCGCATTTTAGTGTGACTTTTACAACACGCAATGGCGTACGGAGGAAAGAGCTTATTCCCACTTCCTCAGGATATAAAAGGAAAAGCAATTAGAACAAGAACTAAGAATAAAATCAAAGGAAACTCAGATGGTGTGTATAAATAAACGTTAGTGTGGACCCTAAGTGTAAGTAGAAAGTAGCAAGACGTACCTGCAATCCTGTATAATTTAAGAGACAACTAAAGATAACCAGCAATCCTAACCATTCATGTAAAACAATTATATATATAAAATAATATAAATAGAAATATATATAAATAAAATATATATATATATATATATATATATATATATATGTAATATATATTACATGTATATATAAAATGTGTGTGTGTGTGTGTGGGTGTGTGTATGAAATCGCTGACCGCGAGCTTAACTATGCAAGCAAGCACCGGGAAGGGGGGGGGAGCTTTAACCAAGTACTTTACACTTCTCAGTGCGTCAGTAGGAGCTATGCAAATTGTCAAGGGAACACTGATCTAGCGCACTGCTCCTACTCGAGAAAACTTCTCCTCACCTTCCTTAGCTGTTGCCCTTGCAACTTTTTATTATTCCTGATGACGCACCGAGAAGTGTGAAAATGCTGAGCTAAAGATTTTTCCACCCCAATGGCTTGTCATTGTGTATGTATGTATGTATGTATTTGTGTGTAATATATATATATATATATATCTATATATATATATAGATATATATATATCTTTTTATAAAAAGTGTGTTAAAAAAAATTAAATATAATATTTATATATATGTATATAATGTAAATATATATATATATTATATATATATATATAATAGCTATAATAATATATATATATATATATATAATGTAAATTCTGAAGCACCTCCTGCAAAAACAGTGATTAGATGGCGAGTGTTGAATGATGAAAGTATTTCTTTTTGGGGATTTTCCTTTCTTTTTTGGGTCACCCTGCCTCGGTTGGGAAACGGCCGACTTGTTGAAATATATATATATAGATATATATATATATATTATATATATATATATATATATATTATATATATATTATATATATAAATACTAATACCTATATATATATTTATAATATATATAATATATATATAAATATAAAGTAAATATATAGATATATAGATATATATATATATTATAAATAAGATAATTATATGGATATATACAATGTATATATATATATATAGCTATATAGATATATCATGTTGTTTGTATATATATAATATATACTATATATATATATATATATCTAATATATATATATATATATAAATTATATATATATACTAAATGGTGTATATATAGATAATATTATATATAATTTATATATATATATAATAAATAGTATATATATATATATCTATATATAATAATATATATATATATATATATTATATATATATATATAGTAATGGCGTGCGAAAGGCAGAACTAGCGATCTTGTGCTTAAATAGCAACGCTCCCACTTGCCAGCAAGGAACAAGTGAAAATTTGAGTATGCCATAATTTCGCCAAATCAAATCTGAACCTAACGAAAAAAATATATTGATTTGTGTGTCTTTAGTAAGTAAAATTATTGTAAACTTATTTAAAATATATTTTTGTTTGGTTTAGGCTAAAATAAATTGATTCTTTTTAATAATAAGGTTTATGTAAGTTTTTCTAAGATTCTATGGTGCAAAAGAAATTTTTTGTTTCATGAACATTAATGAAAAAATATATAATCTTCCAAACGTAAAGAGAAAATTATAGAAAGGACTTATTTTTTAAATGAACTTTCTAATTGAACCAGTTGTTACATTTTCGCACACGACATATATATATATATATGATAATAATATACATATATATAAATATAGAAAATATATATATAAATATAGATTGGACAGACAGCAACCACCCAGGAGGGATAAACCGCCTGCCAAGGTTTTCTAAATCCATAAATGCAATAAAAACTTCACTACCTTTATCTAATACTGTTCACATATGTGCTTCAATGTAAACACTTGATCTACACATCCCCTATCCACTCTGAAACCTCCTTGCTCATCCGCAATTCTACATTCTGTCTTACCTCTAATTCTTTCAATAATAACCCTTCCGTACACTTTTCCTGGTATACTCAATGAACTTATTCCTCTATAATTTTTACAATCTCTTTTGTCCCCTTTCCCTTTATTAAAGGGGACTATACATGCTCTCCGCCAATCCCTAGGTACCTTCCCCTCTTTCATACATTTAATAAACAAAAGTACCAACCACTCCAACACTATATCACCCCCTGCTTTTAACATTTCTGTCATGATCCCATCAGTTCCAGCTGCTTTACCCCCTTTCATTCTACGTAATGCCTCACGTACCTCCACCACACTTACATTCTGCTCTTCTTCACTCCTAAAAGATGGTATACCTCCCTGACCAGTACATGAAATTACCGCCTCCCTTTCTTCCTCAACATTTAAAAGTTCCTCAAAATATTCTCGCCATCTACCTAATACCTCCCTCTTCCCCATCTACTAAATCCCCTACTCTGTTTTTAACTGACAAATCCATACTTTCCCTAGGCTTTCTTAACTTGTTTAACTCACTCCAAAATTTTTTCTTATTTTCATTAAAATTTCTTGGCAGTGCCTCTCCCACTCTATCATCTGCTCTCCTTTGCACTCTCTCACACTCTCTTCACCTTTCTTTTACTCTCCATATACTCTGCTTTTCTTATAACACTTCTGCTTTGTAAAAACCTCTCATAAGCTACTTTTTCTCTTTTATCACACCCTTTACTTCATCATTCCACCAATCACTCCTCTTTCCACCTGCCCCCACCTCCTATAACCACAAACTTCTGCCCCACATTCTAATTCTGCAT